CTTCCTCGGCGGGCCGACCGCTCTATTTTGACTTTAAACTTGGGGGTTTTTCTGTTTTTGTTTTTTTTTTGTCCCCGCGGCCTCTGGCACTACCGGTGTCTGTCCCCCGTCTAGATACCCAGGGTTTGTCCTGCCGTGCCTGGGGGTTCACCCGGTTCAAGAGGTTTCACCCGGGGAGCAGCGCAGCGCTACCTTGAAGGTAAAACACAAACAAATCAGGTCAGCACAGGCGTAAAACGCTGCCGGGACTGCTCAGGGCAGACGACAGGATGCTCTACTCTGCCTGATTTAACCTCAGATCTGCTCAGGGATTGTTTGTTTCCAGCGCTTCTGTAATACAGAAACCCCAGCAGACCGAATCCCGGGGTCTCTCAGCGCCTCCGTTTGTCCCAGTTAGTCCTGAAGCAGAACTGTTCACTGGAGTCATCTGGCCATGTTCCTGCAGAGAGACAGTTCTAAAAATCCCGAGCGAGTGGTTTGTTTACAGCCAAGGGCGCGGGCGCGTGTTTGCAGATGTCCCCTCTGTGAGCGTGGGAGGCGGAAGGCGACCGCTTGTGCCCTTAGCCCGAAAAACTTGGAGAGCTCTGTGCAGCTCTTTGGTGTTACCAGGCTTTTTACAGGCCTTGTTTTAATTACCTCCTCAGCTCCCGTGGAAAGATAACTTGAAGCGAAGGGTCGTTAAGTAAAGAAGGGAGATCCTGCGGGTTTTCAAAATCCGTCTGATGGCACAACTCGCAGCAACAGCAAGTTTTAAGGCACAAAATTTAAGAACAATGAAGGAAACTCCAGTTTAATTGTATTACTGAGTTTATACCCCTTCCATCTTGTAAGGGCAGTGAGGGTTGCATCTTTAATTTGTTCTTACAGGATCTGGATGCTGCGTTGCCGCTTATAGAACTCTACAAAGATAAATTGGTGGGGATTGGGGAAGTAAGTAGAATTCCATAACTTGTTTAAATGACTTTGGCTTCGGCAGCATCTGTCACCAGAATTACAAAAACTTAGTGAATATTTGGTTCTGTGTATGCCATAAGGATTAGTATAAGTCTGAACAAGCACTAAGCCTGATTTGTTATTCTTCTAATGTCCTTTCCTTCACAGATTTGTCTGGTTCGTTCTTTTCCTTCATTATTAGGATATAGATGGTATTTTTGCTGGTAGTTTTAGTAGAAAAAATTGCATAATTATGCTGTATCATCTTTTACTCCAGTGTTTTTTGACCTATTCTCTTGCATGGTGAAGTGTCGAGGCACATTGTTATCCTCATTCACATCCTTCCTGCCTTCTTCCCTGACAAAGTTAGGCTAAGCTGTGATGTCAGGACACTTCACAGACTTGCACAGTCCTTTTTTCTTGTGATCCCTCATCTGTCTGTGTCCACGTGTTGTCTCCTGTTTTACATTTGTTTATAAAGTACTTGAGGCTTGAAAGCTGTAGGGTAGACTCTGCCTTTTATGTGTTGCTACCGGAGGCACGTATAGCTGGTTCTGCACTGGCTGCAAAAAAGCAGTTATTGTCAGAGCTTTGTAGCTAAACTCACCATGTTGTACTTGTACTGTTTATCAGGAACTTTGGTTGATGTAACGGCGAATGAGACTGCTTTGACAAACTTCAAATTTGCCCAAACATTAAAAAAGTAGAGCATTAATAGGCTAGTTTTTGCTAGGGGTAGGGCTAAAGCTACAAGTTCAGGTCAGAAATTTTACTCATATTGGAGATGCAGATTTGAGATTTAATCTGACATAATATTCAATAAAAAGGAAGGAAAAAAAAGAAAATCGATTACAGATTAAAATGTTAAATGCACTTGTTAGTAACTGTGTGCCCACAAATACTGTTGTAGTTGAAAAACTTATGGTTGCCTTTCAGAGTTAAGCTACAGCTGAGCTCATTTTATTTGAAGTCTCTAGCATATACATTTTGAAATACCTTGCTGTTTTGAAGTATTTTTTGCCTTATATATGAAATTATGGTTTAGTCAAGCGTTAGGTCTGTAAAATATTTGCAATTCTCTTCTTATACTGTAGGTTGGACTAGATTTCACTCCCAGATTTGCCAGCACGGATGAACAGAAGGAAGGACAAAGACAGGTTTTGATCAAGCAGATTGAGTTAGCAAGAAGACTGGATTTGCCTTTGTACGTTTTGTTTATGCAGTAGGAGAATTTTCCAAATCTTAGTAACTGTAGAAATATTTCCAGGATTTGTAGTTACAAAGAGCCTACAGAACTTTTCTTACATAGATTAAATTGGCATTAGTGTCCTGTTGGAGATAAAGTAATAGTCTTTTACTCCAGTTTGAGATAAAATAATAGGATTTTCCCTATATTTGCACTTGAATACAATGGTCTTCTGTGTCCTGTCCTTGCTATGTTGTTGCTATATTTTCACTGTAGCTAAAATGATTTGTACATATGTCTCAGGCTGTTCTTCCCAAGCTGCTGTTACTTTGTTTGTGTTAACAAAAACTATAGTGGTTTGCTGAGTTTCCTAATGGCTGGCCTCTTCTGTGCAGAAATGTCCATTCCCGCTCAGCTGGAAGACCAACCATTAACCTCTTAAAGGAACAAGGTATGTTTTTAATGCGTTTTCTCTCTCGTGGCTTTTCTCAGTTGTGCCAAGCTGACATGAAACTTGGGAAGATGAGTGCAGAGATTCTATATTCGTTCTTTATGGGTTCGAGGTCCCACTGGGGGGGTGACATGGCAGCCCTGTAAACACTGCTAATGATTTGGTCTGCTGCTTCTCTCGGAGGTGCCACAAAAGTGTTGCTCCATGCATTTGATGGGAAGCCATCTGTTGCGATGGAAGGGGTGAAAGCCGGATATTACTTCTCCATTCCTCCTTCCATTATAAGGAGTGAACAGGTAAAGTTTAAAGGGGCTTGCACCTTCTTGGTGCTTGGGGACTGCAGGTAATAGCTGACAGCTTATTGTGATGGCAAACATGGCTGTTTTCACTGCGTGGTTCAAGAATGTGCCTGGTTTTCAAGTCCGTACAGTTTGAAGTGGGATTAGCAGATTTCGTGTACCGTTGCTGTCACCGTTGCTTCACAACAGAAGTTTCAGTTGCTTATAGCATTGCAGGTTTGGCGGGAAATTTTGCCCAGAACAATTCAGCTCTTCCTGAGAAACAATGGTTAAAAAAATAGGCTTTTTTTTTTTGTGTGTCTAATTTTAATGTGATTTGTGGTGAACTCTTCTCTGGAAGCTTCTGTCACTGCACTGTTTTACAGTAGGGACATGGAAAAGGACTCATTTCTGTCTCAGTGCTATGGCACTTTCTGTTCAAAAGGAAATCTGCTCACAATCAGTTAAGTTACAAACCCTTGAAAAATAGCGATTATCACAAGGTGCGCCCAGCAAAGCAGCAGCTAAATTACTTAAAGACAGCATTGATCAGGTCCAGCTTTTGATTTAATGAGACTACTCTTTGAATTTCTACTCTGGGCTGCTGCAAGCTATACTAACTTCTTATTTTGGGGTAGAAGTCTGTTTCCATCCTGCACCATTATCACTTTCTTTCTATGATAAGCTCGGGGAATGCAAGAAAGTAAAAGGAACGATTGAAGTGGAAGGGGTGTGAGGGATGGATATAGGTGGGGAGGAGATTAGGAACTTGGAGAAAGGAAAGCAAACGGGTTGAGCGGTGAAAGCAGAGATGGGAAAAAGGTACACCAGTATTATATATACAGAAAAATAGCAAATTAAAATTGCATTGGTAACTCTAAATATAGGGATGGATTCAGTGTTTAGATAATAGTCCTTCAGATGTTCAGAAAACTGGAAAATCCTAATTTGAAGGGACTTCTTGAGCAGCTCCTGATATTCTTTCTTCCATTCTGAAATTGTTGATAAAATGCAGACAGTAGCACCAAAGTCTTTTGACATGGCTTTTAAATGCAGAGGATAATCTAACTTCCTAGATTTGTTTTTTTTTCTTCCCCTGACACATCTAAGTGCATAAAGCATTTAATATCTGTCTTATTTTCTTCAAGAAGCAGAAGCTTGTGAAGCTGTTACCTCTGGAAAGTATGTGCTTGGAAACTGATTCTCCTGCTCTGGGGCCTGAAAAACAGGTAAATGAAGGGAGGGGAGGGACTTCTATGTATGTGTACCCAAACCCACACCTTATGGAGGTCAGTTACTGGCATGGGGAGGGTGAAGTAGTTTAACCATAGGTACAAGGAGCAAGAGAGTTCACCGGGTGAAAATTTTGAGATGAACAAGTTAGTGTTGCTGAGGCTGGGAAAGGAGAAATTCCAGGAATGGGCAAAGGGGAAAATAATCCAGGAAGAACAGATATATGTAATTTTTCTGGCACATGTGCCACAGTGTGACTGAAGTTATGTCAGGAAGTACTGAATCAGTAACACCTGTGATCTGTAGGGATCTGTAATTTGGTCTGGGTTTTTTGTTTGTTTGTTTTCAGGTGAGAAATGAACCAAAAAATATTTACATTGCTGCAGAATATATTGCCAAAATTAAAGGAATTCCAGTTGGAGAAGTTATAGAAGTGACTACACAGAATGCACTGAAGGTATTCCCCAAACTTCTGAACTTTCTCCAGATATAGATTCAGAAACTGAAATGTATGATGTTGCAGAAGCTACTATTTATGGTGTAATTAATAAAACCAACATGCATCTTGTCTTGTAGTGGAGTTTGGCTGTTGGAAAGTTCAAGAAGTCAGCAGAGTATTATGTAGATACATAGGATGAATATAGGGAATTTCTCAAAGACCTTTGGTATACACCTTTGTCATCTCTCAGATGTGATAAAGACAGATCAGATCGTTCATTTGCATGTCCTATGACTCTGAACAAGTACTTTATAAAGAGCAGCACTGTAAAATTAATCACAGGATCACAGAATGTTTGGGGTTGGAAGGAACTTTGAAAGATCATCTAGTTCAACCCCCCTGCCAGAACAGGATCAGAGGTGATCTAGAGAATAGGTCACACAGGAACGCATCCAGGTGGGTTTTGAATGTCTCCAGAGAAGGAGACTCCACAACCTCCCTGGGCAGCCTGTGCCAGGGCTCTGTCACTCTCACAGTGAAAAAGTTTTTCCTTGTGTTTATGTGGAACCTTCTGTGTTCCAGCTTGCACCCGTTGCCCCTTGTCCTGTCATTGGACGTCACTGAGAGGAGCCTGGCTCCATCCTCCTGACACTCCCCCTTTACATATTTATAAACACTAATGAGGTCACCCCTCAGTCTCTGCTGCTCCAATCGGCAGTTTAGTTTCCAAGACTCCTTGCTCAGTGCTCCTAGTCTGGGAGATGGCTGATGTGTGGTGCTTAACATCCCTCTTGTTCCTTAATTTCTGATGACTGAAAGTCACATGGTTGTGGTCCCACTCATGATACGAAGGCTCCTGTTAGGACTTGCAGGTGACACGTCCTTTTCTGAGCTGTTAAAAAGAACCCAGATAGATGGACATTCTCTGTACGTCCTGTTGACCTGTGAGCAGTGCAGAAGCAAGACCTCTGATTTCTTTCAAAATACAGTTGGATGGAAAGAATTGCAGCCCTTCTGCTCCTTCCTTCCTTTTTCCTTGTATACAGTAATTTAACAGTTGCTCAGATCTTGACTATTATGAGAAGGTATTTGCTTTGATTTTTTTTAAAAAAGATATTTTACTTTAGTTTTTGAATTGTATTCAAAGAAAAAAGCCTGGGCTTGGTCTTTTTTTCAAGGATTTACTCTTCTGACTACTCGATGTCAGGAGATACAGGATGTGAGACAAGCCCAGTTTTGTAAGATCTTGTCCACTGTAGATTCTGCTACAATGTATCAGTGTCCTACAAACGGGATCTTGTGCTCCCTTACAACAGGTTTTGAGCCTGGTGAAATACTGATCAAGATTTTGCTGACTATAAACCAGCAATGACTGAGGCAAGTTCTAGATGACACTCAGTTGTTCTCAGGGCCACTAAGGAAGCTGAGGCTTTTATTTCCCTAGGGTGAGTTTTGCTAGCTCAGTGAAGAAAATACACAAGTATTAACTTAGTCCATGACCACCTAGGGTAGAAAACTCATGCGTTATACCAGCTGATGGTGAGAGCATTTGGCTTTAAAATTTGAGCATCTGTCTTCAATGCCTTGGGTGCCTATGTGATTGTTCAGATTAGGCTCTTTGTTTTGTCTTGCTGGTTAGAGCACCTTGCCAGCTGCCACTTTGCAAAATGGTTTGTAACGCCCTAATCTGAAATCATCGGATGTCTGCCTTCTGCAGTGGAGGAGTGCAAGGCAAGGATTTGGTTTTTTGCCCCTGTTTTTGAGGAGGATGCACCTGGAGAAGGTATCAGCTCGCAGATGGCGAGGTGGGGCGAAGGAGTAAAAGCTCATAATGTAAGCAATGCCCATCTTAAGGTTTCATCTACATTTTCTTCCTCAATTTCTTAAAACCACATTGTCAGGAGGTTTTTTTTCTGTCTTTAGCAGAACAACTATGTTCTGCTTTTTGCCTGGAGTTGACTTAGTTTAAACATATGTTCCTAAACAGTTTTCGGCCTGCAGTGACAGCCAAACTTGAATAATTTCTCTGTTGCAATGTGTATTCAGAGCAGCAAACACCTTAATGTTTGCTGAATGTTTGACCCAGAGTAGTTAGAGCCACTTTTTACTCACCGTTCCCACTGAATTGGGTGAAGGACAGAATTTGCCTTCAGTTTGTGCTAGGGAAGAGGTTTGCAGTAGTCTTAAGACTGTTAATGTGATTGACATTAATAATTCAGAGATGCTAAATGGGTGATACCAGGCAGCATTGCCTGCTGACTGTGTGAGGAAAGGCTTCCAGTATTGCACGGGAAAGTAATTATTTGTGGAGATGCTCCTGGTAAAAAAGTGAGGCAGTGTCCAAATGTGCGTAGAGGTTTTGCCTCTGTGAAATTCTTAGTCTTGGATGAAAACACTGGTTTTGCAAAAAAGGGAATATCAAATCTCTCTGCAAGGAGGTAACATCATTCTGGTGGAAGCTTAGCTTCACAGTCAGATGAATCCCTTGCTGCTGCAGCGCTGCAAAAACCTGTAGATAGACATGCTCACATTTTGCAGCTCCCAGCAGGGTAGGGCACTGCTGAGGGCTGTGGGGCAGCCTGTGCCCCCTGTCCCCAAAGCACGAGGGTCCACCAGCGCTTGGAGCAGCATAGGAGTGGGGCTGGGGAAGGGAGTACAGGGTTGCTTCCAGCTGGGTGAGAGAAACCTGGTAGCGCGAGCCTGGCAGGGTGCCCATCACAGAACAGGCTGACTTTGTCCTCCCCTTAGACCTGCGGCGCCTCGGTTGAGTCATGGTGTAGGTGGCCTCACGCTCCAGAAAAGGAAAATGCAGTGTCATTCCCACCCTGTCTTGGCATCCCTAACACTGAACAAGGGTTGGAAGCAGCACCCTTTCTGTGGTGCCGCTGGTTTTGCTGTGCCCCAGCCCCCTGCAGTCAGCACCTGTGTGGGGCAGCAGGCGCTGGAAATAAAGTCGTTTCTTTGTGCAGGAAACCCAGCTTTTTAGGCGCTCAGTTGGGACTGGTGGTACCTAACATGAGGGGGGAGGAAGCGTGGTTTTGGAGCTGGAAAACATCACTGATCACTCAGTAGTCATCCTGTGCCTTTACTGTGAAAGGGGGATTTAACAGAGAGCTTGCATTTCTGCCTGCAGTCCCAGGCGGACAGCTGGCCCACAGGGGCTGGGGAAGGCAGGATGGCTTGTGCGGGAGCCGCGTGGCTGCATGCCATGAAACCCTCCCTCCTCGCAAAGGGGGGTGCTAGCAATATCTCTGTTTGTGTTGAAGCCTCTCAGGTTGCCTGGACAAGCTGTGTCCCCTCCTACATAGCACAGGACACTGGAGAGTCTGGAGACATGCTGGAGGAAGGACCAAGTGCCAGTTTAGCTGGATGCCACGTTTAGCTTTTGGGAAACCTGAGGGGAAGTGACAGAGAAAGCACAGAGTTAGTGGAGACTCACATTTTCTTTTCAGTGATGCCATTAATTCTGGGGGACGCTAACAGCCCTGGTGACCTCTGTCTCACAGAGGTGGAATGATACAGATGGTCTGCAGCAGTGTGGGAAGCGATAGACCCAAAGCTCCATCTCATACCTTTAGCCATGAACTTTCCCTGGGGTGCTAGAAACAGCAGATCTGGTTGCACTTTGTATGACTCCTCATGTCTCTCTTGGAAAATGTACATGATGTGGTAGGAAAATCAAGAAAGGTTCATGGTTTCTCTGGCATATCTAGTGCCTTCAGAGTGCCTCACTCATTAGTCAGTGCTCTGGTATTGATGCAGCTCTGGCTGGCACAGCTTCTGCCAGAAAAAAAAACAACAACTTGCATGTCACTTGGTTCTTTCCAGGCTTAAAATAATGCACACAGATGCACTGTACGCGCACTAGGGACTCCCACATGTGCAAGGGCTGACAGCAACTGCAGAGTTTAACACCAGGCATAAATAATGAGGGGGTTGTAGGGTGGTAGTAATAATGTGAAGGTACTTTCCATAGGCTGAGGTGTGGAGCTTGTAGATCTAGAGAGCTTCTAAAGTGGGTTTGTCTGTTGATAGAGACAAAATAGTGGACCAGTGTATGCTGTCAGCAGCTATGAAATCACGCAGATTTTGCACCTTCCTTGTTCAGTGAGCACCTAGAATCAATAGCAGGAACTGGAAGGATGCTAAAATTATAACTCCTCAGCTGGCTGGTGTCATCCTCCTTTCACCCTCCATGCCAAGTTGGTGGCAGAACTTGTGTGGAACAAGAATGATATGATTTTGCCTGAAGGCCACATGACTTGTAAGAGTGGAGTAGGTGTAGTAGAACTAAAAGGTTCAGCATGAGTCACTTGGAACTCCTCAGATCCTGGAAATCCCCTTTGAGTTGAGGACTGACAGCTAAGGGCTCTATCTGTGCTCACTCAGATAATTTTTGGAGGGCTGCAGCTGAATCATTCTCCTGAGGCCTTTCTTCTGAAACTTGCTTTTAGTCATAGACTAACAGGGCCTAAATCTGCTGAACTCTGGGACAAACTGATAGGGTGATGATTTTTTACAGATTTCAGCATGGGAACAAGCGAGGAGAGGGTGAGGAGGGCAAGTGATGTGCTGTTTGATCCTGATGTTTATTGTGATAAGAGTTTGAACAAATTGACCAAAGACTTTTACTGGAGGTGCTTCTGAAAGGTTCCTATGCAATGCATAGATAGGCTCTTTAGAGGCAAAAGCAAATAAATAATTGGCTGGAAATGCAACTTTCATCACTAATGAGCTCCTGCTTTTATTTGTTTTTCATTCATGCAAACTGGGGTTTGAGCCTCTGTTCCCATTATAGAGCAGGAAAATGAATTTCAGAAAGTCACTGGCTTAGCAGAAAGGTTTGTTGATCTTCTCTTTGCTTTCTATATGCAGTACAAAGATACCGCTGAGATCAAAGAAAGGATATGAATTGCCATAGCACCAGTTGTCTCGGCATTTTCCGCTTCAGCAGGTGGTTATCCATCTCTTCATTGCCCCTGCTGGGGTTGGCTTTTCTGTCAGTACAAATTGGTTGAGACATGGGCACTGCATGGCTGCACCATGTAGTGGCGGATACCAAAGTACTCTCTCCAGAGCCTGGCAAATTTTTATGCCCCTCTTTGAGCTGCTGTGAATGACAGAACAGCAAGAAAATGCAGTGGGGACTGTGGCTCTGGTGAACCAATGCCTGGGGCAGGAGCTGATACCCATCACCCCAAAGGCTCGGTGCTGTGCTGAGAGAGATGTTGCCAACAGGACGCATAATTCACAGGAGACCAGTGCCACTACCGTGCCTGGGTCT